GCACGGCGGCGGCAGCGCAGATTTTGCAAGAGCGGCTTTAAAATGGATGTCCCCGTTAACGGCTCCCGGCGCGGGGGCTCGGCAGGGAGCTGGGCTGACAAAGCCCCACGGCGGGAGGCTCCGGAAAAGACGCGAAGGGCCGGTTGGGGGGAAACGCACCGCTTTAGGGACGGGGGTTCTTTTCCTTTTTTTTTTTTTTTTTTTAAAGCCCTCGTTTCTGGAGCTGCGCCCTGCGGAGGGAAGCGGGAGGGGCCCGCACGGCCCGGTCCATATTTCCCGGGGAAATGGCCCTGCGGCGGGGCCGGCGCACGCCTCCGCGGAGACGCAAACTTTCGAGGCGGCTCGGGTCTCGCCCGCGCCCGTGCTGCCCCCTCCCCGCAGGGGGGTGCTTTGGTCCGCTTTTCACTGTGCCCGGAACTGACAGGCAGGTTAAGGGGAATCAAGCTTTCAGTCGTGATACGCGGGTGCTTCCTTTCACTCTGCATTGCTTGTCGTTCCGCGAGCTTACTCGCTAACACGACAATAAAACGTGTCTCCTCTGGTCGGTTTCTGTTTGAACCGGATGTGACACCCAAAGCAGTGTTGTTATTCCCAACAAACCCTGGCCCCTACGCCCGCGCTGGTTGCTGGATCAAACTTTTTTTTTAAACCATCACCTGTCACTTTTTCGCTGTAATTTACCGCTCAAGTCAGGCTTAATTTATCCAAATTGTCATAAACGTTTGTTCAGAGCTACAAAAATATTTTCCAGCATGGTCAAGAGCACCGATTTCTAATAAAATATATATTCATAGTGAAGCGTGTGGGTACGCATATAAATATATCATAATTATAGGTGACTATATGTATATAAGCATACACACAAACATATCATTTGAAGTATAACATAAGATCTAAACACAAACCTTATTTTAACAACAATCAACTCTATACCCAGGTGAAAGATGGCTAAACTCTAAAGTAACACAGTAAGAACATAAACTAAAGGTCTAAAGCAGGGCCGGACACAGGCATGGGCAAACTGGGTGGTTGCCATGGGCCTGGACAAAGGGGGTCCCAAAATGGTAATTTTAAAATTATTATCATCATTACTGCTGGCAAAGGGGGGCTGATATTAAAAGTTCACCCAGGTCTACCAGGAGTCTAGGCATGGTGCTGCTGTAAAGAATTAGGGTGCTCTGAGCCAGTGCTTCTCAAACTATCTGATGTGGTGGACCAGCAAATTTTTTCCAGTGGGTCAGGGATCAGTGCAGGTTCAGCCGGTGGCAACAACTGCGTGTAATAGCGCTACACAAATGTGCGACCGGCTGTTTCTTTCTTTCCTCACCTCACACGACCTGACGTCACCTGGAGTGTTGGAACGTACGAACTGTGGCGCTATGACATATCAATGTTATGCTTCTGAAAATATATCTCTTTCTTTCCTGGCAACTCGCTGCAGACCAGCGAATGTATTTCTTTCTTTCCTGGCAATTCTCTGCGGACCGAGGACCAGTGGCTTGCAGACCAGCACCAGTCCGCGGACCACCACTTTGAGAAGCACTGCTCTAAGCAACATGGGCATTAGATGCATTAATATATATATATATATATATATATATATATATATATATATATATTAAGCATATAAAAAGGTAGTTTCTTATTTGATGAATCTTTTAATAGATTATTTGCTTTAAAGCTCCCAAAGCAAGTCTATCTTATGTTACACATTAGATATGGAGTGAGTAGGTCTGAAGAAATGAAAGTGAATGCACTGTGCCATAAGAAATGCCAAATCAAAGCTGTAAGATACTAGGCATGTCTTGCTAGGTGTCACTTAGGAGTACAAAACGTGTACAGAATGACCTTTAGGGATGTAAGGGAAATTCAGGTGTACAGTGAAATCTAGCTTTAGGCCTCTCTGTAGAGGTACCAAAAAGACTGTTGTTCCTACTGGTGGGACCTGTCCACAGGGATTACAGCGAGACTGCCAACTTCTTTTATATAGGTCGCTAAACTGTCATACGATAGCAATGACTTTCAGTCACTACCATGTTGATCTACACTTGAACCAGAATTAGAGATGAACGTCTCTGTAATGGCCGGCCATTCACTTGTCTTGTTTCCTTTGATATAGCTGACCTTTTAAATAATACTTACAAGCAGAAGTCCCATTTCACAATGACTTTTACTTTATACATTCCATACACATTACAGACTGAGATTAGTAAGGATGTAGTCTACCAAGGGGACTAATATAGGCCTACATTTTGACAAGCACTTGGTGAATTTGAGTTACTCAAATTTAGGGGACTGATTTTTCACATCCTGCCAATTACCTCTCTCCTAAAATTCAAGCCCCCTGTAGGATAACTCAAGGGTACTACAAAAAATTATTGGCACTTTAAAAACTTAAAAGGAGAAAAGCTTAAAGTGCCCCAGCCAGAAATATGGGAGACCAAGTCTAGGAGATAAAGCAGTGGAAATAAAAGATCCAGGAAAACATTTCAACATCTTGCCAAAATGTAAAGTAGGGAATCCCTCCACTGACAGGTAGTATGGATTATCCTTGAACAAATCTTAGTAAAGAAAGATAACAATGTCCTTAATCCTAATGGCTTTAGCAAAATATCATCATCAACAACCTTCACAGTTGAGGATGATTGCCTTCTATGATTGCCTTATCTGTGGGTCTGAAGATGGCTGACAAGGCCAATCCAGGAACAACAGGTTCTCTTGAATTCAGGAATGTGTTTTCGTGTGCAACAGGTGGCTCCATAATCTTGATTCAGTCCTCAATACTGTTTCTGCTGGTCCTGTTTTTCTGTCTCCTGCTGTTGTCATGAGGTTTCAAAGTACTAAGATCCTTGCAGCAGATACTTCCTCCATTTGGGGTGATCCTGGGAAACAGCCCCCACCACAAGTTGATGTCAAGGTTGCATTTTTTCAAGTTGGCCTGGAGGACATCCTTGAAGTGCTTTCTCTGCTCTCCAGTTGGTCATATGCCTTGACTAAACTGGGAGAATAAAACTTGCTGCAGGAGTTTGGAGTCAGACATCCAGATGACATGGCTGGCCCAGCAAAGTTGATGTCAGATGATCATCGCCTTGATGCTCGTGGTGTGTGTTTGCAAGGGACTGCTAAGGTTGGCATGTCCATCTTCCCATTGGAGTCAAAGGATCATCCACAGGCAATACACCATACATTCATGCATTTCCTGTGCTGCTACCTTGAACCTCAAGAAGCAGGAAAGTGTGGGGGGGGTGGCCCTGGGAGATCCTGGGGTCAAAAAAAACTGGGCAGAAAAGAAGCAGGGTGGCACACTTGACTGCAGCATGTGGTGCTCAAAACTGGAGCCTGGCCTGCTGGAACCATGCTCTGGCTGCCAGCCAGGCTCCAAGCTGTAGGAGTGCCATGGCTGCCGCTTCCCCAGCCCCCAAGATCCCAGGCACAGTTGCTGGCCCCAGCCTTCCCTATTCTACCCAGGGTAACCTGATGCATGCCAAAGGGTGAATAGCATGGGCGTTCCCTTGGGACAAGTAGCAGTGGTACAAGGTGTGCCACTGCTTCTTGTCCATGGGGAACCAAACATCTGCACGTCTGGACATGGCCCATAGGTGTTTTTGCCATTTTGTTTCCCCTTGAGCCTGCTACCTGCTTTTACAAAATGTGAGAGATCTACTTTCTGATGAAACACACAATAACTAAATCTGACAGTGACTATTTCAGGATAGTTAGTGTGTGAAAAATAAGTATTTGATCATGTACAAGAAGCAGTTCTCTTCTAATATATGGGCCTGAGCTCACTCCCAGTGAAGACAATGGCAGTTTCCCTAGTGATTCTCATGGGAGAAGGGCTGAGCCCCAAATGTGTAAGTAGGCCAAACAGTCTGTCTCTGCAGGGAGTCAAGTCAGTAGTTCTACTGCTTTAACTAGGAGCCCCATGTGTGCGAGATGTGGCAATACTTTCCAAGCAATACCATTCACCAGCCAAAGTAACCAGATGTTTATGTTAAAAAAGCAATTTAATGTGAAATAGTTAATGGTGGTAAATAGATTAACTGTTAAACTGAAATCATTAGGCCTCAGAGTGTGGAATGAATAGGGCAGTTCACATCAATTCTAATGACGCCCACTTGCAGAATCTATCAGGAAGTGCTGCATCAATTCACTTTCAAAAACTTAATTGAGCAATCCAGGGCATGGCACAATTTTAGAATAAATTTTAAAATTAAATTTTAATCGTAATTAAATATTATTTTGTTCTCATTTAATCTGATCTATATAGAATTATATAATATCACCTAATTAAAAGACAACTCCTGTAACTTAACCTTATCACAAAGGGGTAAATCACTAAGTCACCACATGCATCATTGCACTTCTATTTATTCCAGGAATGTACATTCTGCTACTCCCATGCACTCACACTCCCTTTTTACTAATTTCAGAACTCGGA